ATTGCTATGTGTCATCCTATTTTGCTCCATATTTGGATGTGTCTCGTGATTCTTTGAGTGCTTCTGTTTATGTGTATACACCTGTGGGAGATTCTATTATGGTAGGCCATGTTTATCGTTCGTGTGTAGTCTCTATTGGGAGTTATGAGACTAGGGTAGATCTTCTTTTACTTAGCATGGTGGACTTTGATGTTATTTTGGGCATGGACTGATTGTCACCATATCATGCTATCTTGGATTGTCACGCCAAGACTGTGACATTAGACATGCCGAGTTGCCTCGGTTGTAGTGGAGAAGGACTCCTGGCCATTCCACTAGTAGGGTCATTTCTTACGTGAAGGCTCGGTGTATGGTCGAGAAGGGATGTCTTGCAAATTTGGCCTATATCCGTGATCCTAGTGCGAAGGTTCCTTCCATGGATTTGGTACCAGTTGTGCGCTAGTTTCCAGAGGTGTTTCCTACAGATTTTCCAGGGATGCCACCTGACAGAGATATCGACTTCTGCATTGACTTGGTTCCGGGTACTAAACCCATTTCGACCGCACCATGCCGTATGGCCCCAGTTGAGCTGAAAGAATTGAAGAAGTAGTTATAGGATTTGCTTGATAAGGGATTCATTAGACCTAGTGTGTCGCCTTAGGGTGCACCAGTTTTGTTTGTGAAGAAGGATAAAACGAGGAGGATGTGTATAAATTATCTGCAGTTGAATAAAGTCACTATCAAGAACAAATATCTGTTACCAAGGATTGATGACTTATTTGATCAGCTTCAAGATGCCAAGGTATTTTCAAAGATTGACTTGAGATCTGGCTATCATTAGTTGAATATTAGGACATGAAATGTCCTTAATATAGCTTTTCAGACTCGGTATGGTCACTATGAGTTTTTGGTGATGTCACTTGGGTTTACTAATGCCCCGGCAGCTTTTATGGATTTGATGAACCGTGCGTTCAAACCCTATTTCGATTTTTTTGTGATTGTCTTCATTTATGATATTTTGGTTTACTCCCACAGTAGAGAGGGGCATGAGCAGCATCTCCGGATCGTACTTCAGACTTTGAGGGATCGTCAGTTATATGCCAAGTTTTTAAAATGTGAGTTCTGGTTGGACTCCATTACCTTTTTGGGTCATGTTGTATCTTTCGGGGGCATTAAGGTAGATCCTAAGAAGATTGAGGCAGTTCAAACCTTGCCTAGACCTACTTCAGCTACAGAGATTTGGAGCTTGTTGGGTTAGGTAGGATATTATCGCTGGTTCGTGGAGGGGTTTCATCTATCCCAGCCCCATTGAATAAGTTGACCCATAAGGGTGCTCTTTTCAGATGGTCCGATGAGTGTGAGGTGAGCTTTCAGAAGCTCAAGACTGGATTGACTACAGCCAGTGTTGGTGTTAACTATAGGTTTAGGATCCTACACCGTGCATTGTGATTCACCACGTATTGGGCTTGGTTCTGTGTCGATGTAGGACGGTAGGTTGATTGCCTACGCTTCTTGGCAGTTGAAGGTTCATGAGAAGAATTAACTTGTGCATGACTTAGAGTTGGCATCCATTGCTCATGCGCTGAAGATTTGGAGGCACTATCTTTACGGCGTTCCATGTGAGGTTTATACTGACCATCGGAGTTTCCAACACCTGTTCAAGCAGAAAGACCTTAATTTGCGGAAACGAAGATGGTTCGAGGCCGGATTTGTGTTCTAAATGTTGATGGTTTAAGAGAGTTAATCCTTGAAGACGCTCACAGTTCACGCTATTCTATTCACCCAAGTCTCATGAAGATATACCGTGACTTGAAACAGCACCATTGGTGGCAAAGAATGAGGAAATATAATGTTGCGTATGTCTCTCGGCCTTTGAATTGTCAACAGGTGAAGTATGAGCATCAGAAATTAGGTGTATTGGAACAGAGATTAGAGATACCAGAGTGGAAGTGGGAGTGCATCACTATGGACTTTGTGATAGGCTTACCATGGACCTTGAGGAAGTATGATGCAGTCTAGGTTATTGTGGACCGATTGACTAAGTCCGCACACTTCATTCCGGTGGTGACTTCCTATTCTTCAAAGTGGTTGGCTTAGATTTACATCCAGGAGATTATTCGCCTACACGACGCGCCCATTTCTGACCGAAGCACGCAGTTCACATTGCATTTTTGGAGAGCCTTGCAGCGTGAGTTTGGCACGTGGGTTGAGCTGAGCACAACATTTTATCCTCAAACGGACGGACAGTCCGAGCACACTATTTAGATCTTGGAGGACATGTTACATGCCTATGTTATTGATTTCGAAGGTTCATGGGACCAGTTCTTACCTATAGCAAAGTTCGCCTACAACAAGAGCTATCAGTCGAGCATCTAAATGACTCCATACGAGGCCTTATATGGGAGGCGATGTTATTCACTGATTGGTTGGTCTGAGCCCGTAGAGGCTAGATTATTGGGCACTGATTTGATCCGTGATGCTATGGAAAAGGTTAAGGTGATTTAGGAATGACTTCGTATAACTCAGTCCAGGCAAAAGAGTTATGCGGACCGGAAGGTTTGAGATGTAGCTTACATGGTGGGTGAGAAGGTTCTTCTCCGAGTGTCACCTATGAAGGGCGTGATGCAGTTTGGGAAGAACGGTAAGTTGAGCTTGAGGTTTATTGTCCCATTTGATTTCTTGGCGAGAGTTGGGGAGGTTGCTGATAGGCTTGCATTGCCTCCTAGCCTAGTATGGGTACATTCGGTATTTTATATTTTCATGCTTCGGAAGTACCATGAGGAAACCTCACATGTTTTGGACTTCAACACGGTGTAGCTTGATGAAAATCTGACCTATGAAGAAGAGCCAGAGATATTCTAGACCGGCACGTTCGCAAGTTGAGATCCAAGAGTTTTCCTTCGGAGAAAGTGAAGTGGAGAGATCAGCCGATCGAGGCGGCTACGTAGGAGTCTGAGTCCGATATATAGAGTAGATACCCCCACCCTTTTTACGTGGATAATGTGACGACCTGATAGGTCATTTTGTGTACTAGCCTTTATTTTTGTGTTTCGAGACCTCCCATAACTTCATTTGATATTTCTTGATTTGCGTGTGTGGTCCATGTTGCTTTTCAGAAAGCGTTTATGTAAAAATTTGAAGAAAATATAATTTTTGACTTAAAATGAGGCTAGAGTTGACCACGGTCAATATTTTGGGTAAACAATCCCGGATCGGTGTTTTGACGATTCCATTTGGTTCGTATGATATTTTTGGACTTTTACGCAGGTTTGATTGGGGTCCGGGGTGACCCTAACGCGTTTCGTCACATTATGTGCGAAATTGTAAAAATTGAGTTTAAGTTGAAAATTCTTGAGTTTTGAAGATCAATCCATGTTATTTGATGTTATTTTGATGATTTGAGATAGTAAGAAAGTTCATATCATGTTATTAAACCAGTGCATTACTACAGATCTCGCAAATGCGAGGTCTGGCTCGCAGTTGCGAGCCTTGCTTTTGCGGTCAAGCGATTGCATTTGTGAGCATGGACCTGGGCTGGGAGACCATGCATTTGCGAGGCAATGTTCGCTTTTGCGAAGGAGGCACAGTCGCATTTGTGAACTTATTGGTCGCATTTACGACCATTGGGCATTTAGGACATCTTCGCAAATGCGAAGAAGTTATCCGCATTTGCGAAGGAGGGCATTTCGCATTTGCGATAATAATGTCGCAATTGCGACTTCTGTGTATCTGATGCACTGATCGCATTTGCAATCCATTGTCGCATTTTAGGGCATCGCATTTTCGAACAAGTGTTCGCAAATGCGAAACCTGCAGCTGGGTAAAAGAGGGGATAATGGGACTTAGCTTATTTTACACTTCTTAACCCCAAATACTCTATAGGCGACTTTTGAAGAACTTTTTCTTCCCAAATTCATTGGTAAGCAACTGTAATTCATTTTCTATCAATTCCCCATTACATTTCATGAGTTGTTTTTTACATAAAATCTTTGAATTTCATGGTAAAAAATTAGAGATTTTAGGTAGAACTTAGGAATTTTGTAAAATTGAGATTTAGACCTCAAATTGAGGTCGGATTTCAAAATAAATCACATAACCGGGTTCAGGGGTGAATGGGTAATCGGGTTTTGGTCCGATCTCCAATTTCCACCAAGCGGACCCGAGGTTGACTTTTGTTTATTTTTTTCAAAATGATCAAAATTGAACCCTTTTCATTCGTGGGTAGTTTCTAAAGCTTATTTTGAATTGTTTGATCGATAATTGGCTAGATTCGGTTGGTTTGGAGGCTTGTTCCAAAGGCAAGGTCGTGGTTGGTTGATTGAATAGGTTGTAGAGTGAGGTATGTGTTGTGTTTAAGTTTGACTTGAGGGAATTAGGACTAGTTGGTTTATTTGCTATGTAAATTACATATGGGGATGGCGTATATGCATGGTGACGAGTATATATGCGTAGTCATGGGTGAAAGCATGCTGGTGGAAATTGATTTATCGTATCATGCTGATTCGTTTACCATGCCTTCTATGCTTTAGTTTGATTGTTATTATTTGATTGTTCGTTTCGTGTTTATTGATAAATTTGTAGTTGTTGGGATATCAAAAGTTGAATTGTTCATCATAATATCACGGTTGAAGTTGAAAATTAGTTTCCTACCCTGCTTGATACTTTGGATTATTGTTGTTGCTTGGTGAGGAGGAGTGAAAAGCATAAAGGGTATTGTCGTGCCTTATTTTGCATATTGTTATTATTGATTGAGCGATGGTGAGGATTAAAGTACGAAGGGTGATGTCGTGCACTTGATTTCTTATTATCATTTGTCATATCATGTGAGGAAGAGAATAAAAGTACGAAGGGTGATGTCGTGCCATCTCATTTATCATATTATATGGTGAGGATGAGAGTAAAAGCATGAAGGGTGATGCTGTGTCATTGCATATATCATATTACATGGTAAGGATGAGAGTAAAAGCACGAAGAGTGATGTCGTATCATTTGATGATTTCAATGCTTTACTTGANAGAAATTACAAATTACATGATCAAACATCTAGAGCTCATTGCCAATGGTGGTGCACAGGGAATTCTTGGTCACGGGGGTTCTATTTATCAAGAAATCACAATATTTCCCTTTGCTTCTATACATCTCTTCGCTTAAGAAAATAAGCATCAACCTAAAACGAAGAGCATTTCCTTTTACTTGTTGGTATGTTAATCAGAAGTTGTGTTTCAAGAACAAATGTTCCTGAGGAGAAGCTGGTCCAATTTCTTCTTCTAAACTTCTCAATCCGTCACAAACCCCGGGCACAATGCCATTTCCATAGACGTTCCTAGTTTCTAAATTCTTTGCTTCAACGTCTGCATCCGATACTGAAGACTTTCTCCTCTGAGACGACGCAACACTTGGGAAAGTGATCCATGAAGGAGCCCTGAATTCGAATCTCTGATCCTCAGTTTCTGCAACATCTGTTGTTTCTGAGGTTGACCGATTCGAAGAGGACTTCTTGTGCAATCTGCTGCTTCCTAGAACAACCTCCGTTGGCAAGATAGGCTGATCATTGCTCGGACTACCCATCAATTGAGCAAGCGCTCGCTCCAAAGCTGTCGTGACTTTGTCCATGGATGGCCTCTCCTTCCCTCTCATCCTCACGCATTTGCTGGCTATAGTAGCAATTCTTCTTAGAGCTTCAACATCAGAAGGCGGTTTCAAGACTGGATCTAGGATTGCCTGAATATCACCAGCTTTGATTAATGGAACTGCCCACTCGACTATGTTGCCTTCATCATATTGCATGTCAATGGCTTTCCGACCACTGAGAATTTCTAAAAGCAAAACGCCAAAGCTATAGACATCAGATTTGGTTGTAAGATAATGTAGTCGGTAGTACTCGGGATCAAGGTACCCTAGCGTCCCTGCTGGTAACTCAGCTAATGGAGAACTGCTATTAGCAGGTCCAAGCAAGGAAAGGCCAAAATCAGCAACTCGTGCATTGTGTTCTTCGTCTATAAGGATGTTTGAGGACTTGATGTCTCTGTGAATCACAGGTGGACATGCGTAACCATGCAAATATTCGATTCCCCGAGCAGCTTGGACTGCAATGGTTACCCTTCTTATCCAATCTAATTGCTCCTTCACGGTCTTGTTCTTCCCATGTAGATGTTGATGCAAGGAGCCATTAGCCATGTACTCATATACTAGCAGTCTTTCACCAGCTTCTTCACAATAACCTAGCAAATCGAGCAAATGGGCATGATTTAACCTGGACAGCAAGTCTAGCTCAGTGTGGAACTCCTTTGAATTTTTCTTCATATCAGAAGACATAATAGCTCTCTTGACAGCAACCGCAGTACCGTCCTTCAAAACCCCCTTGAACACACACGAAAAACTACCCTTTCCAACTTGTGATTCTTCTTTGAATCCCCCAGTTGCTGTCTCAAGCTCTTCATAAGTAAACATCTGAGCTCTCCTTATCTTAAGATCATCCAGATCTGGTCTATCTTTAGCAGTTTCCTTTGGGAAAGGACCATTGGCTATATTCTTCCTAGGACTAAGACCTTTCCCTGAGCATCTACAGTTCCTTAACTTGTATCGAACATACACAATCGATGTCAGAGATACAACACTCACCAAGAATACTGCAAATGCAACCTCAGCAACGATGACTGGCAACTGGAGTGACCAAAATTTAAAGTTCTTCTTTACAGAAATTGCACTGGAACAGCTTGAAAAGCAGTCAGCAGAGGTACAACTTGAACAATTATACGTGCACCGTCTGTCAGTAGATGAAGTGCATTCAACCTGTTGATACATTTCAGCAGGGCAGCCATTGGTGCAGGGAAGGCAAATGCGAGAATCGGGAGACTTGCAAGCTGCACTTCCATTGTTAAACTCATAGAAGCCAGAAGCACAAGGCCTAGGCTTGCAGACTCCAGGAGAAACAGCCAGTGGTAGAGATGAGGGAAAGCCATAGCCCCAACATACAGGCAAGAGCGAAATTTCCGCCAGGATTCCACAAGTGAAGTAATCACCAGCTGCTATCTCATAAAGCCTAACTCCACTAGGAGGTGGTGTGCTTTTCTCGACGCTGTAACCCCAGCAAGCAACTCCACGATCATAGCTCTTAATCCCACAAGCATGAAACTTACCACTAACAACGGAAAGAATTGGATCGTTAGGGGTCAGTTCGATATTGAGTTGAGCGGCAGAGAATTCTTGTTCAAGGTTCAAGCTCCTTCCCCAGCAATACACTTGAGCGTTTACCCCCTCTAGGATCCCACAGACATGATATCCCCCAGCTGCAATCTTGATAAATCTCAAATATTTTGGTGCTAGGCTAATAACCTGGCTGCTAGTCTCATCACCCCAGCAGAAAACACTTCTGTTGAGGGAGAACAAAGCACAATTGAACTCTGAGCCAGCAGAAATAGAGTGGATCTGACCCTCAAACTCATTGTTTCTTGTCATGTTATAACCCCAGCAGTCCACCAAGGAAGTGTTCCTACGGTTCCCCATTAAGGGTTTCCTTAATCCACACAAGTGATTTTCACCAGCCGAAATTTCTAAGTATTGGGAGCCTTTGATAATGGGCTGAGGCACTCCCATTTGGACAAAACTGCTTCTTCCCCAACAATAAGGCTGGGAGGAATCCATCAGAAGCCCACACACAAAGCCATTCCCAGCAGTTAGACCAATAAAAGGGAAATGAACAGGAGTTGAATAGATTATAGCAGAACTGGAGCCATAGCAGCTCACTAAATGAGACCCATCCGACTTTAAGCCGCAAAACACAGAACCATATTCACCATAAGATATGGCAATTGAAGACATTGATCCCAACCCTGAAACTTTCCCCCATAAAACCACTAGGAACACAAAAGCGTATCTGTATTTCCACATTACTACCAGACAGGACTTACAAGTGCCCATTACAGCCAAACTTAACAACAAATAAAACCAAAAAGTGTTTATGGTTGAGACAAACCATGGATGACAAGAGCCCAAAAAAAATCACAACTTTACAGCCAAAAACCAACTCAATATATAATTATACCCTCTCCTACCCTGCAACTCGGTTTTCCTTTGTCAAGATCCCCTACCCTGTCAAGAAGCAGCTGCAAATATTTTTCAATTCAAGAAATATACTTGAAACTCTCCAATATCATCTGCTCATTCTGTAAGTTGAAACGATTATGTCAAGCTATGGGTGGGTTAGAGAGTGGGGGTCTAAAGTCTTGATGGGTGGTGATGGATGTTATTGTTATTGTTGGTGAAGACTGAAGAGCAAATGAGAAAGAGAAAGAGGAAGAGAGACAGAGAGCATTAAATGTCTCAAAATAAGCGTCACTGTAATGTAGGTGAAAGCATTTAATGAGAAAGTTATTGCAAAAATTGATCTTTCAATGCCTGCATATCTGCACACATGTCCCTTACATACTCTCTCCACCCTTTGCTTCTGCCTGCCTTTCATGCAAATACAAATAAAAACTCCTCTCAAATTATATTCAAATCTTTTACTACTACTTTCTCTTTTCACATAAGCAATTATTTATATGTATAAAAGTAACTTTTTATACGGCATAATTAACTTCAATTTCCATAAATTGTACTTTAACTTTCTATTGCTGTTACAATAATGCCTTTTAATGGCTCCTAGCTAGTACTGTCATTTCACAGCTCTTATTATAATCCCCGCCTAATCATCTTAAATTGCCACTATATAAAAATTCTCTATCTATTTTTTTTTCTCTTTGCCTTATTTTGAAAAAAAGAGAAAGAAATTGCGTATTCTTCTTTTTCCCCGTGTGTAAAATACTATTGTTGTATAGGGTAAAATCGAATTATATTAAATGCTCGAATGATAGCGTGATACGTGAATCGGAGGTAGACGGAAGATGAAGCGAGTAGAAATCAAGATCGAGGACAACAACTTCAGTTGGCACCGGGTAGATCTCGAAGGGAACATAGTCAATGGAATCAAATGAATATTTGACACCAGATGACATTTAATGAAAAATATTTCTCAGTATTAAATACACAACCGTTGCAGAGAATTTTGGTATTCATGGCCTACCGTTTCATATTCATCAATGACCCCATTATTGACATTTAAGAGGGGCTTGATCCTAGGACTTTATTCCCTAGGTGTAGCTCTAAATAGTGACTTCAACAACCATTGTAACATACGAAATTTCTGGAAAAACTTATGCTACACATTATTCTCAAACTAAATAATACTTTATTTTATGTCTAACGTTATTCATAATTCTGCCTTCGGAAGTTCTGTTCCCGGAACCAGGATATCTGCTATTTATCTCGATTTCAGCGCTAAATCTTGTATTCTTACACTTTTCACTTGATTTATTTATCGTTTTGAGATCAAATCAATTCGCTTATCTATAAACCACACTATAAATTCAACTGTACCGTTTTACGGGTAAACAATTATTATACAGACAAATGGCGTTACAGGAAATCACTTATTCATGTTATCCTAAAGGAATTATTGATGATTTCACTACATGTTTGGAGATTTCGTGATGACCTAATAAGGGTGAAAATTTAGAGATTAATTAATGATGCTTGATGTTTTTAAACACGAAATGTTTATCCGTAAAACGATACAATTGAATTTGTAACGTAGTTTATAGACACATGAATTAATTTGACCCAAGAATATAAAATAAATAAGAACAGAAATAATATTATCAAAATAACTTGAAGAAAATACAAGTCTGGATATGGATTTAGCTTCTCCGGAACCAGTAATAAGAGTAAAATAGAGAGATAATAGTTTTATAGAATAAGAGCATATTTTAGCTTTTGTATACAAATGATTTTTCTTGTCTACTTGTGACGACCCAGCCGGTCGTCTTGTGCATTGTAGCCACGTTCCCCTGTTTATTGCTTATTCTATATTTACTTGTAGTTATATGACTTGCCGGGGTGGTTGGTTTGATTTCGGAGAGATTTCGGAGTGGATTGGGACACTTAGTCCCAAGGCTTAAAGCTTAAGTTGAAAGGGTTGACCAGAGTTTACGACTCCGGAACAAAATTTTGATGGTTTTGATAGCTTCGTGTGGTGATTTGAACTTAGACATATGTCTGGGTGTTGATTTGGAGGTCCGTAGGTTAGTTTGATACTTTTTGGAGAAAGTTGTAAAATTGAAAGTTTAGAAGGTTGAGAGGTTTGACAAAGAGTTAACTTTGTGGGTATCGGGTTCGGATTTCGGTTCCGGAAGTTGGAATAGGTCTGTTGTGTCATTTTATAACTTGTGTGCAAAATTTGATATCAATCGGAGTTGGTTTGGTATGATTCAGCATTTGTTTTAGAAGTTGGAAGTTCCTTAGTTCATTAGGCTTGAAACATGGTGCAATTCGCGATTTCGATATTGTTTGATGTAATTTGAGGTTTCGACTAAGTTCGTATCGTATTTTAGAACCTGTTGGTATGTTTGGTTGAGGTCCCGGGGGCCTCGGGTGAATTACGGATGGTCAACGGATCAAGAGTTGGACTTAATGCATTGTTGAAGATTTTGGTTGCTGGTGTAATCGCATCTGCGGTGGGCTTGGCCGCAGATGCCAAGTGGTAGGTGCGGCAGGAGGGTCGCAGGTGCGAAAGGGGGCTTGGCTTAGGGATTTTCGCAGGTGTGAATAGAGGTTTTGCAGAAGTGAAGTCGCTTCTGCGATGGTTGTTTCGCAAAAAGCAGATTTTGTACTTGAAGGGCAGGAATCGCATATGCGAATAACTTCCGCAGGAGTGAACTCACATAAGTGCGAGTAGGACCGTAGAAGCGAACCCGCAGAAACTGAATTTTGGCCGTAGATACGGCAGGCCGAGATTGTTGCACCCTATTTTGTACTAGTCAAAATAAGATTCAACTTGTGGTTCCTCTGTCGTTGATGAAAGAGTGTCGCCTAATATTTAAAGGTAAACTAGGGTACCTATTACTAAAGGTCATATCCTCCTTTATTAGTCTGCTAACCAATGAAATTATGGGTAAGGGTTCTTGTTCTTCTAAGGGGAAATCATTAGGCACCCCTTAAAATCTACTTGAGGTAGCTCCATAGGACTTAGACTAGATTTATGATTAATTATTTATACTATGCTTTAACTAGTGTACAAAAGAGTATAGCTTATCATATATTAGGGCATAATATCTATAAAGGAAGAGTATGGTTTAAAGTTAAAGAAAAGCCTTTAGGAAATTAGTGTTAGTATATATAAACCTGAAAAGAACTTTGGAAGATGGAACGTTTGTATAAAATGTGTAAAATGGAAGCTAAGTTAAAGCACTTTGTCTCCTAAATCATGGAAGTTCATATTATTCTAATGTGGTGAAAGTGTTATGAAATGATCCTAAGATATACCTTGGTTTTAGATAAATAACTGTTTGAGAGCCTTTGTTTTTTTGGGGCGGCGGCACTTTAATCTTTTCGAAATAGTTGATTCCTATTTTAAAAATTTAAACTCATGACGATTCTGGTTTTCCTTTTAAAAGAGAGACTGTTGCCTTTGTTAAGCCTTGGGCTTCAAAAATCTTTAAGGAAAGAGTTAGCAAAGCGTAATAAGTTAATAACAGTTCATGACTAGAGGATATAGAATTGATTACTAACTAATGCTCTTTTTAATCAAAGGTTCTTTAAGGATTGCCTAAGTTATTTTATGTGAGTCAAAAGATAAAATAAAGCATTCAATCCAATATACAATTGTCATATACGTATGAAGCAGAATAACATGAACACAATAAAGAGTAACGACATAGTGAAACTGTAAAATATAACAAAAGCAGTAAATAAAGGAGCGAAGGTAAAGAAAGGACTCTAAAGGGTTTGGGCCTCAAAGAAGCAGGCCTAACAGTAACGGGACGAGCAACAACTGATTTTGAACCTTCTAAGACATAGCAAGGCTGGACTTGGGCCTGAGTTCTTAGAGAACTCATCAGGCCCAAATCATGGTACATGTCAAAAAAGAGAAAATAGAATATCATTAGAATAACATTACTACATACCTATTCATATATATGAAGATCGCAAGCAGAGAATAAAAGAAAAGATTACTGATAGTATTTAAATACTAGGGAAGTCATAATAATGTGGAGGTTATGTATAGTAAATGATCAACATTGAACACCTTTCGTTGTAATTAAACACCAAACCCAAAGAGAGTAATAATTTTCAATGAATTAAAGTCTAAGGAGAGAATTCTACTCAAGGCCGATGCCCCCCTTTGAATCCCCCGACACTTCAAAGTTTCGAAGGGTCTCAAGGCCCAGGGGAATGCTTGTGCCGGGGAGACCAGCCCAAACTAGAGTTAAACTTTACCCCCAAATACCTTTAACCACTAACGACTAATTCTTCCCTATAGGTTTGAATTCCAATGAGGCCCTTTCAATGCAAACCAACCACTATGACATTTCCTACCACAGAAGCATACTATTCCTTAGCAGAATAGCACAGGAAAAACACATAGAAACAGTCCCCACTTCTTATGACAATGCTTTCAGCTCTATGTGATTGATTAACATACTAGACAGACATGAGGCTTTAATTCCAAATACACACATAGGCAGGAACATCATCTTGTTTTTGCTAAAGAAACATACAACTGGAATCAAGCATCTCAGAGATAGATAAATAGCACATAGTTTAGAGTTGCAACAGCTTTGGGATACAGATACTAATGCCTCAACATTGATCACAAATTAGTTTGACACCAGACATTATCATGAGCATACGTCTAGGTTAATAACATTACTTGAATCCCTTGAGATCCTTAGTATAGATTCAAACAATAACACATGCAAGTTATTGCACTCAATCAGTAACAATAGAAGGTTTCTCCTATACCAGATTCAATCCAGAATGACAGGGGAAAGGAATGTCTGAATATAATTTCAAAATAGTGTTCAAAATATGAAGTCATGAGGGACAAACAAAGGTTCATACCAAACTCCCACACATACAGAGATTTCAATCAAGATTATGATCTCACAAGACAAGATGAGTCTCAAACATTACATAATCAGGTTATCAGTATCATTAGGGGGTTAAGAATAGGGGAAACATCATACTAAATAGACTTAAATCAGCTGTACAGACTAGGTTGAATAACTACACATGGTGCAGCCATATTCAAATTATAGAAACAGTCAACATTCAACCACAACAGACACAACTATAATCTGACTCATAAGAGATAGGCTGATCATAACAAATACCACTGATGTTCACAGGAAAGTCCATCCTAGTAGGACTGTTTGCAACTAATAGTTAGACATGGATGTGAAGCATTCATAC